CAGCATTATATAATATATACCAGCAAAAATGTTTGAGTGGCACTGATTTTATGAGATGCACCTGTAAATCTAACTTTCTGAAGATGCACACAAAGATTTATACTGCTGAGGTATTACGCTTTCGCCTCAATCACTTTGGGGTTTTTCCATGAAAATCAATGCAACCGTCTTTTGGCGATGAAGTTCACACTGATTTGCTGTTGACTAGGGTCTTGGCTAAGGCCGTTTATTAGCATATACTCGGGAGGTGAAATATCTCGGGAACAAACCATAAAAACACGAAACTGAAAAATAAGTTGCACTACAGTTTAAGAAAATAAAAAAATTCATGTCACATGCACTTTAAACCGGTGACAAATTCCACAATTGGTAGATGGGTCAAAAGTGACCTCTAAGATTCAGGCATCGACATAAAAAAATTTTCAGCTCATAATAGCAGAACGGCGTCTTCGTCTTCGGATTTTTATCTGGTTTGCCTCTTAACGACGTCCCCAAACCAAAACTGGTGGTTGGACGAATGCCAGAACATTTGCCAAACACTGTAATAAACCAATTGGTTCTAATTTTGGAAACAGTATACTTAATCACTTTAATAACTCGGACAACAATCGAGAATGACATATACATTCTATATAGCTATGTAAATAAAAAGAGCAAAGCTTTGTGTATCAAACATTGATATCATTGTTGTCTTGCAACTTGCTGACCCTCACAGCTTTAAAATCTCATGGCACTCCGTAGTGACGTAGACTGATGACGTATAGAATTTTAAAATTAAAAGAAACTTACCTGTAAGTTGAAGTTTGATTTTAATTCTATAAAGTCATCAGTCAGGAACAGAGGAGTAACATGCCCTCCCTTATGGAGAGTTTCCCTCCCGATACCCCTTCGTTCCCGTGTGAGAATCAGCAAGTTGGATACTTTAAAATATGGCTAGGAAAGCGAGCGCCTGCTTCTCATGTTACTCCTCCGTTCCTGACTGATGACGTTATAGAATTCAAATCAAACTTCAACTTACAGGTAAGTCTCGTTTAATTTTAGAATTAACAGAGAGGTTCGGACTTCCGAGTAGAGCCAAGAGGCACAGTCCGACCTTTGGACCACCTTAGGGAAACTCAAATATCCTACAACTTAATAACTAGGACATTTTCAGTCAGTCTTTTTCTAAATTGCTTTGAAGTGAGTCATTCCGTTGGTACAAGGAGTTAGATGGATGAATATTTGTCGAAGAAGCTGCAACATGTTTAGATGATGGATCAACAGATGTCATGATTACGTATTATTTGATAATCTGACTCACATTCGTTATGTTTGCATGAGCCGTCTTGTTTCACTCAAGAAGTCGGCACAGTGCCGTAGCCAGAATGATAATTGGGGGGGGGGG